CCCCCCCCTGAATACGCGCCTGCTGATCCCATTGATCGGCTCCTCATCACCTCGACATCCCCATTCGTTAGAATCTATTTCTTCTCGATGAAAAACCCGCTCACGTTTGGCCTGAAGATGAGTTTGTAGACATTACGTGCGAACATCGATGCCGCCGATAGGATTGACGAGTCTGAAGAGGACATCACGGCCGCGGACACGGCTCCGAGCCCCAAACACGATACGAAAGCCGGCGTGAGGTATTGAAGTACCAGAGGCAAGACCAGGGCAGACTCTTTCTCAGTGAGTGGATACGGGCCGTGATAATCGGTTTCGTTCCATCGGGTGGCCTTTGCAACGGCCCCCATGATCATCGCTGGGACGGCCATCACAATGCAGCCAACCGCGGCCACGTAGCTCAGCAGCTGAGCCTTGAAGGCGCTGCGACACGAGAGGACTCGCTGGAAGTAAACTTGCCAAGGGATCCCTCCCAGCATCAGCAGCAGGCCGCAGTCGAGCCACTGTCCGAAAAACTTCGAATCCACCGTACCGATCCAGTCGTTTGAGGGATATGTCAAAGTTCCAACGGCTGGGTTGCTGATACAGAATGGGATGCAGACCCACTGAAAAGAATCAGAGAGAACCCGTTGAGTGGAGGAAGATAAATTCTTCGTAGACCACTGCTGACATTCCCTGCCCTCCGTCGTGACCCTCGACGTGCAACATAGTTTCAGAGAACAAGCAATGGGCCAAGCCGCTATCAAGCTCTCCGTCATAAAACCCAGAGAAAGACTTTGCGTCCAGTTGGCATACGGTTTACGAGGGAGGGGAGGAGCCGCTACTCGGTACTAAATTCTACAACGAGAAATACCGCAACTCACCAGTCCGAGGAAGATGCAGAACAGCTGGATAACGTCCGTGTACGCCACCGAATAAAGTCCTCCGAACAGGGTGTATATCAGAGCGATACAGGCAGAGGAAATGATCGAGGTGTTGTTATCCAAATCCATGATGACGCCTACTGTTGCTCCTGCGCGTGAAGGAAAAAAATTGTTGCTTCCCTCTGATCTGCCGCTCTCTATCTCGGAAGTGATACATCAAATGATGAACACTGGAGTGATCCTCGATGGATGATAGCGGTCGCGAGCGCCAGCAGAGGAGCATCGCTTCTATTGCCGAACCCGAAGACAGAGAGGCTGGCTGCATTGAGGACTAAGATCCGCATCCCATGCCGGCAGCCAGAGTCGAACCTTTCCTGACGGACTCTCCGACGGAATACAAATGATCGGCCCCTCATCACGTGAGGGGGCACCGGGAGGAATTCACGGAGGGAAATGCAAGTTCCTCGCGCGGTGGTAGAGGCCTCGCTCGAGTCTTGGGTCATTTGAGTAATCTGAAGCCGGAATGCCCTCGGGATGGAGCCCTCAAATCATCTCCTGGTTTGTTGATGGATCAGACGAGGCGATCTCTCTCTTCGATGTACTACGTGAAATTATTTTCCTTTCCAACCTCCCAGGGCACGCTCGGTCTTCCCGAGAACGGCATAAACGGGGACCAGAACTCATTTCCACGTAGTTGGCGCTTTTCAACGCTCGGCACATTTGGGTTGCAGCTCGAAATCCGCATCCGTGAGTTCAGGAAAGGACTTACCGAGAGCTGCGAGGATTGCAGCAGACCAGAAGACTTCGCCACATAAAGCTGGAATGAAGAGCAGACCTCCCATTCGTCCCCCAAAGAGTTCTTGGAAGGGGTCAAGCATCGTGACATAACCCTCGGCGCGCATCTTGTTCGCGAAAAAGTAGCCACCTGTTGAGGAAACGAGCGAGGGTCCGCAAGGGATCTTCCGGAGTAAATATGCGTCCGCGCGCCTTTGCTTTAGACAGTTCGAGCTTACCCAAAACCAAGGATAAGGCGTATCCCATTGGTGCCTGAGTCCACATGATTCCGTCTTTGAAAACTGATTCTGCCGTTCCATTTATGTATCCGCCTCCGACCCAGGTCGCCGTCATGGTGAAAATTCCCACGAATAACCCTGAAAAGGATCGATACCGAGCTCAACGACGAGCGTAGTCTGACGAAGCGAGCCTAGGAGCGGGATCAGGTCGTGCTCACGAAGTGATCGAATCGAGAATATTTCGACCATGCCGTCGCCCTATCAAGAGCCACGAGCCACAGCGAGTTCCGACGCGAAACCGCAGTCGAACAAATCTCATGGTAAACCTCACGATCGGGGGAGAGACTTAGGGCAAAGCCCCCTCTCACGAACATTTTTCTCTCTACAATATATTCCGAACAGCTCATGAGTCGCGGACGCTTCAAGAACTTTTCGGAGTATTTCCGATTGCCATGGAGCGTGCCTCCTCCGGAGATAACAGAAGTCTTGCATGGCCCTTTTGGCGGTTTGAGGGAACACTTCTGGATTCCATCCCGGAACCATTGGGTCGAATGAAACAGACGATTGGGTTCGAAAAGGTGAGGAGAAAGCTCGATCCGGGTCGGCAATGCCTGCCCTCTCCGATTTGAGTCTCATTCCCTAGACATCAACCCGGAACGAAAATTCATATTCGCGACTCATGTGGTGCATGAAATTTCTTCGAAAATTCAACATGTCCTCCTATTTTCATCCTCCCGTTGGTGGATTTTCGAGTACTCTATGACCTCAGAGATTCGGCGTTTCGGGGAACGTCTATCTGAAGCTATGACGGGATGCAGGCGTTTCGGTATTTCGACAGCTCGGTCAGCTCTTTTGGCGGGGCCTGAATCTGCATAAAGGCCCGCAGAAAGGAAAGTTGCGATACACAGTGCAGCGCAATCTCCGTGAGGCTCCGTGCCGTAGCATCGGCTTGTTCGCCCATGTGTCGCAATACGTTGCATGGAAGGAGCCGCTCGGCCAGACCGTCCAGAGAATGCCCACCGTGAGTTTCCGCTGATGTCGGCAGCGTTGGCGTCGCTTGCGCCTCGTTTTAGCAATCGCACTCTTTCAATTAGGAGCGAACTCATTTATCTGCTCAGCGAGCATTGCTATAATTCCATCGGGTTGCCCCCGAAAAGAGCTGCCGACTTGGTCTCTCTCGCTGCAATGCGGCAATCGAGTTGACCTCGCTCCTTGCCCCGCCTCGTCTGTTTCCACACTAATTGGAGACCTCCAATCGAAAGTGGGCGCCGTAGGTTATCGATGAACGTCGACACCTAACACCAACTCACCGATGTTCCGACCCGCTAACATGACATCGTCCGCTTCGCCTTCCTCTCCGGACCGTTTTCCGCTTTTGCGTCCGGCCCATATACCGACGGCGAGGATCAGGATGTAGAAGAGCACCACGGATATGATGCCCGCAAAGTTCACCGTCATGATTCAGTGTAGATGTCGTCGATTGTTTCGGCCAATGGAAACACTTCTGAAGAGGGATGAATTCTCCGGTCTGAGGACACTCGACGCCCTTCAGTCGACAGCTGTCGTTTCCGCCTCCGCCGTTCACACTCACGACTGCCTCAAGAGTAGTTCACCAGAGTCCGGCTCGCTCAACGCTCAGCCGTAACCAGACCTGATTCCGGAGCCTGGAAGAAAAATATACCGAATAGATAGACAGAGATAATTGGACGTAGCACATTCTCTGTGGAGGCACTCACTGAGTCATACAGCTCGGGCATCTCGGGATCGGATCCTGAACGTTCGGAGTCTCCCCAAAACCATAATTTTTCAGACAGCTGTTCTTCCTCTCATCGGAAAACTACGTTGACAGCGGTGTAAGCCAAGTCGGCAATAAGTCAGCCTGATCGTGAAGGGAGAGGGATCATCCATAACACACGTTTTCGATCCGAAACAGAGCCAAGAGTTGCGTCCTTCTGTCCGCCGGCTCCCGGGGAACATCATTAGAGATTCACTACAACCGAAACAATCATCGGCGCCCACGATATCATTCTCAAACGCGTCGGGCAGAACCCCGTGTTCTAGAGTGACATCTCGATAAAGCCCTTTTCGAGACACAGACCGGGGAAGGCTCCCTTATACTCCTTAGGAGGCTCAGATCCTGGCTCCGAAACCGGTGTCATCTCCTATAGGTTGTACTCACAATCAATCCTTCGTCGAGGCTTTTCAGCGACCTAGCGTCGAAAAGGCTCCACGATTCCATAATTGTCTTCCTTCTTCTGAAAACGCACCGTCCTTCTCTTCTGACTCCTCTCCCAAGGGAGCTCCACGACACGATTGAAGACAAGGGAGTCTGATGATGGGCTTTTGAAGGAGATTTCAAAACTTCATCCTACGGGTCCTCGTCGTCAACACTCATAACTGTCGCCCCATCTGAGGCTCGTTCGCTTCGAAGGAAAGTTTCGGTGTCGAACCGAATTTTTGCTTTGGCCCGGACTCATGTATGGCTCGACCACGATTAATTTTGGAATAGCTGATTTATCGACGCCTTGGGAATGATCGTCCTCTATTTTTTGGCTGTCCGGATCTAATGAGAAAATGCCGAATTTTCCCGGAAAATTGGAGGGAGGACAAGCTCTACAAGTCCGGGCCGTGACCAAAGCTCGTCTCAGGACGACGAAAGGAGCAGGAGAATGCTGTGGCCTCGACCAATAGCCTTGAGTGGGAAAGGGTCTGAGGCATGAGCATGCGCGAGTCCACAACATAACGAAGACATCGTTCCTCCGACGTCATTCACAGACGTCGAGGGAAAGAGTTCCGGACCTCTACACTGAAACTCTGATTGCGAAAAGCGGGATAGGAAGGTCTTCAAATGCTAGGAGACCTGCTCCGGCAGCAATCGAAGGAGAATTTCTGAAAACGCTGAAGTCTTGTTCTGAAGGGGGGAGGGAGTAATCGAAAATGCTTCGATGACTCGTTCACGACCAGCAAGCGACGAACACTCCGGGAACTTGCGGTGGCAACTTCGGAATCACCGAAGGGGTTCTCCCTGGGCTTCAGTCATCATAAAGATCCCCATTGGCTGGCGGCGTGTAATGAGTGAGCTCTCATTGAGCAATAGCACAAAAGAATCCTGCCTCTGCGGGAAACCTGCATCAGATTCCGTTCATAGTGCGAAAAATCTCGTATCTGCCGATTCCGACATACCCCCTAGCCCGAGTTTCGTTAGTCTGGGAGTCGAGAAAGAGGCACGTTGCATCAAACGGCGCTTGCGGAAGACTCTGTTGCGAAAGATTCCGTTCCCGCAAACTGAGGCCACCGTTTCAGGGAAGACAAATAACGCAGCTACTGAATTATGAGCATTCGCCTCGACCGATCTCTAGTTGCAATTCAAACATTATTTCGCCCCACACTTTGAGTTTCCGCGCCGGATAGGAGGCGAATCATCCTCCTGAGAAGCTCGAAGTGCCCGATCGAGATCGTTAATCTCCTGTGAGTTCATGATCTATTCCGTTCATGGACTATTCGATTCGATGGGGGAGCTCATCCGGCAAGCAATCAGCTTGTATGCTATATGATGAAGCGACCGCTAGACCCATTCCTTCCCGGGGAAGGATCTTCATTAAGGATCGCGATCTGCTGCTCGAGAGTGGGAGAGGAATCGCTCCCCAATCATTCTCTCTCCCGGATGCTCTGGGCAAGAAGAACTGCGGTAAGCAGTTAAAACGCTCAAGCATTCGGTCTGACTGTATGAGTCTCACTGTACTCTCGGAAAAGTTTTACTGGACGGAACACGGAGGGGAAGGTGATGGCAAACAACCGTTCGAGATCCTCCGAAAGAGAGCCTCTCTATCGCTTGATAATCCCCGTATCTGGGAGGGAGATGAATCGAGAAAAACCAATCGCTCACTCGAGTATATCGGCATGGCACATTTCCCGCCCCAGAACACAGGACAGGAGCCATGGGAGCTATCGTCTGCCCTCTGTTGATGCATACCGTAGAACCTCCTTGGAGGTTAAGGGACTGAGAGGGAACGTGGAAAACGGTCGTGTCGAATCGTCATATCACAGCGGGTCCCAATATGTAGAAGGTATTAAGAGCAGGGTAGCGCCGTGAATCCGCTACGTACAGGTAAACCTTATAGCGAGGATCTACTGGATATCTTTATCCTGGGCTCCCGCGAGCCACGGCCCCAAAAGCCCCTTCCCAACATATAAATTTTGTAAGCTCTGTCGTTGCCTATCTGTGTGATATACATGAACATCTGCTCACTCAAGCTCTGATCCATCTCATTGAGTATTTGTTCGAGCTCCCATGATAATCAGAAAAATTTATATCATAAATATACCAACAAAGCAGGTATTAGGTCGCAGAAAAACTGCAATGGGGCGGCGAGATAAAGCGATCCAGAGACACTGAACCAGAATGAGGGTCCTGCCTTGTAGGAAGAAGATGAAATGACGTCAAATTCTGGCAAACCCCACGTCGGGCCGTTTCGACTCTGCTCAACTTCCATATCAGCTCAGGAAGTATTGCGAGTCTTACAGTAGAACCTCGTTATAACGGACCCGGATATAGCAGACACCCGCCTATAGCAGACTGAGGGCGCTTCCCCCAGATCGCAATACCTCCCATGGTAATCTGATCGGATACAACGGACACCCGCTTATAAGAGACCATTTCCCACGGTTCCTCTGAGTCCTTTATAACGAGGTTCTACCGTATATGGTTCCCTCTCGTGGATTCTGTCGACTCGAGACTTGGGATGGGCCGCTTGCCTCGTCGAACCTCGCAAGACGGGTTTGATGCTCGGGGATGCTCATTTCTTCCCATACCCGTAATCTGATAGACGCAGGGCGAGGAATAACTCTTACATTAGGAGAATCCCTGCCAATTCATTCCTTGCAGCGACACTCATGGAGCTCGGCAGCTGAGCGTAGGACAAGGCTCTCTCTCTCTCGATGAACGCAGACCTCCGCCCCCCCCGCATCGAGGAAAGGACTAATTACGACTATCTGATTATTTTTCCAGTCGAGCGAACAAGCGCGCGAGCCACACGGCTCCCCAAGGGAACACAGGCTGCGGAAAAAGGAAAAAACCATAGCGAGTCGTCTACATTCCGATCGTCCCCTAGTTGTGACCGTATCATCGAGCAATAAATCCGACAGGTCTTGAATCGACCCAGGGGCAAATCGGTTTTCACTGGATCTCTTGACGATTCCGTTTCGAGGATTCGAAGTTTGGGAAAGGAGGAGGATTGTCCGTGGACCAAATCATCTCTTTGAGGAGCTTGAATCGAATAAGCGAAACGATGTACAGAAGTTAGCAGGGAATGATCATTCGAAAGACCCCGGGTGAGGCTCAGGATCTTGGGAGCGGAAGTCGCGTGAATGCGCTATTCAGAAATCAAACATCATATCGTGATACTCTCCAGTGGAAGCTCTGCATCCGACAGCTCCGCTGTAGGTTTCGATAGCTTCTTCTGGGCTTCTCTTCCTCTCGTCTGAAGGACTGAAAGCATTCAACAGAGACGGGCTCGTCTATTTTGGGACTAGAATCACCCTTTACCCTGATTGCTTTGCCGGAGAGACTGTCTTAATTGGAGAGTGTACTTTGTTGGCAGCCACGTCATTGTCGACCCTGAGATCATAGGGAAAGAAGGAGGAGGGAGTAACGCCAACTTACGAAGGGGTATGCACGTCATTCTGTCTCTGCGAATCCCTGTTCAGGGAGGACGGCCCCGCATTCGCTATGATGCATATCACGAGTTACACTTTTTATTTTAGTCAACGCGTCTCGGCCGATAATGGCACTGATATCGTTGCCTTAGTCGAGCTCTCGATAACTGATTACTGAGCTCAGAGTCGTCGTCCGAGTTAGACGATGAGCAAGGAGTCTACGGAACGCAAAGGCAGTCATTCCCGACGAGGGGATCCCGGGTTTCGACGCGTCGTTTCCGATTCGGATCTAGGAAAGGGGGCTTGCGAGGAACGGGAATCTTTCCTTGGCCGAAAGGCTGGAGTGATCATTCCTCAAAAATCATACTTCGCTGAGATAATAGTGGATATCCAGCATATGAGATCCTCTGATTGGAAAAAAATGAGGATCTTCCACTCCTTCCCGAACGCGAAGGCGCCCATCGGGGTGTTCATGCTTACGCTCCGCATGGTGCGTAGCATAGGACCGGTTGAGATTGATTGTCTGCTTCAGAGCAGATTTTCGAGCCAGTACTATTGGCACGAGAGAAATCCAATGACTACGCTGCCTGGCTCATGGGAATCTCGATAATTCGAGCTCTAAGCTCGACCTTCTGAGCCTACGAATCGTTGGCACGCTTCGTGGAAGTCGATAGGGAGTATCGCATGCATACCACTCAAGCATGCGCATATGACGTGAGGGCTCACGTCATCCACGTGCGACCGGACAGGGGCGATTCGCTGTGCTCTGAGAGCAATAATCGTTATTTTTCGACTCCGGACCGGCTTCCGGCTCGCATCCATATCGCAGCGGATGCGATGTGTCTTTACCGCTTCTTATGACTAAACTGTCGTGGCCGTCTGCCTGGCGAGGGGCTTGGTTGCGAACCCCTCCCCCGATGTCTCCAATTCCTCAGTCCTCAACATTCGATTCAGGGAGACCGTCCCGCTCCTCTGCCGTGGTATCGGATACTTCCGATCGGAGTCGATTCCTTCCGTGCCTCGCTGTTTCAATTGTGGACTCCCTGACAAGGTCTCCAGTGTGGGATCGAGTGCAGGATTGCTGACAGTCCCCTGAGTTGCTTCCCTGGAATCGCTCGCGGTCGTCATCTTCGCCTCAGGATGGAATCTAATTCTCGACTGTCGTTAGTAATTCCTCACTCAAGATGCGCAGACGCTACCCATCCTGTTCCAGATCATGCGCTTCGGAGCGCTCACGCCTTGGGAGGGTCGTAATGCTTAATAAGCCGTGGGGGGTCCGAACATCGGTTGGCGAAATTGAACTTCAGGTTGACCCTCAACATCTTCCATGTTTATTCAAACAAAAGCACTACCCGAATACTCGGTTGAAATGCCGTTCAAGAGGACTTTCCCTCTTATAAACATCGTAGTCGACAAATCTCACAAAGAAGTTTCCAACATTTTCAAACAGGAGTATCGTTCTACATATCTTCGAAACAGTCAACAAACAATTAATCTCTCGATCAATATGAGTTCTCCAGAGAACCATGTGGACAGAGGAAAATAAATCTCACTGAGTTCGTTTGAACTATCCCAATATGATTGTCGCCCGAGGTTCTAACCGGTCTCTCCACGTGTTGCGATGCTCAACACTGATGCTGTGTGAGACTATTGACTCGCTTCGAAACATTTATCTCCGAATTCAATGAGTTCTTCCGAGAAGACAAGGAGTTTGTACTGAGCAACGCACTCATCGATTCGCCGGGTGTTCTATGGGATTTGGGAACTTCCATTTCCATGGTGATAGACATATAATCCCCATCAGATGATCTCACGATATTTTCTCACTAGCTACAGTTTGATCTTCTAGAAACAGTATTCGTTCTTATGATATTTCGTAACTAATAATTTTCCGTATCATTTGAATAATATTTATCTCCACCCTTCCCGCCGGAGTGTGCGGCAGGATTTTTGGAGCGAAGTGTCATGAGTCATGACGATAAAATCTCACTGTCGTCTTCGTCTGAGCCTCCTCAAAAGACAAAGTGCTTCTCAATCATGAGAGCAAGAAGTAGACATGCCACAAGGTTCGCGGATCCGAGAGAACGGACTAGCTCTTCCTCTCTTTCCGCAAGAGTTTTGATACTCTTACGCAACGCAGAATCATCGGCGACGATTCCATTCATTGGTGCATCCAATTGATAGCCAGCGTCGGTCCTCATTTCTGAATGCCGTATATGGAGGCCTATGATTATCGGGTTTCTACTTCCATTGGATTGTCAACGATATCGATCTTGATGTATGAGTTGTTGAGGTGAGTGTATATACTTGACATTGGGGATATTGCACTGGAGCACGGGGAATTCCTCTCCTCCTCTGGGGATATCAGGATGATATCCCCAAAGTTCCGCGTCGCTTGCCTTCGAATAATATCAACGTATCCTGTGTATAAGCTGACTAATCTCACTGGTATACCGACACATCCGTGGATGTTCGGAACATAAAACGATTCCTTAAACATCTCACTCATCATGTGTACGTATATGTTATCCTCTCAGGCTTGATAATTCTTACTCTTGTCAAAGGACCGTGTAGCTTGCCTTCATTTTTTGGCTTCTAGATGAGACTCTCAGAGAACTTTTGAGGGCTTCGAATCCTATTGCATCATTTCGCTCCTGTGGGAATTTGTTCACTGACTTCAGATGTCGATGACGATCGTTTCTACGTCCGCTACGATGGGTAAATCTGATGTTAGACCCTAGATAACACGAAATTTCTCTGAATCTCCATGCATCCAGTCGATAAATCTCGATTCACCCTGTGTTCATCAAAAGTCTCTTCGAATCCATCTCCTCTACATTGTATCCTCAATGATTTGCGGAGAGCAGCACCTGATACAGTTAGGGGTCGAGGTCACGACCTAGTCGATGTAGGTAGTTCCGGTCTCGGGAGCGCCCTCGAAGAACGTTCCGAGCGTAGAGTCCGAGTCAAATGTCGTTCGAATCTTCTCGGATGCTATCAGGATGGCAGCGGACACGGGATTGTTTTTCGGCATTTTTTCTCGATCTCAAGAGTTTCGACTCGGTAATCGATTCGCGGTTTCGCCCACCGATTATCATTTATGCATCTCGGAATGTGGGAGCAGCTGCCCTGTTCCGTTCACTACAGTCGACGCCGGTGGAGTTCGACGGTTGATGTCGCTCTGTGATTTCTAGATTCGGTAGCTGTCGTTTCGTCGAAGGTGAGGTAGACATTTATAAGTGGGTTGTGCCCTGCTCCGCCTTCGCGCCTCCCTGAGCGGCTTGATGAGCAGCGGGAGCAGAGGTGGATGAAGTGCGATCTGACGACACCATTTGTGGATCACCTCGATCAATCAATTCTGGGTGAAGGTTGAGCGCTGGGTTTACACGACCATTCATCTCGCCTTGGTATGATTTGGCTCCTTGCAAGGCTGCAACGGGAAGAGGGTCTCACACTCTCTCACACACACGAGTCTTTACAATGTTCCGCGACCACGATAAGCGAAGCGTAAGGGAGCTCTGAGTATCCGGAGAGGTACTGAACAACGTCGTTAGTCGACTTAAGGGAGAACTGGGAATAAACACTCACTGGAGGTCAGCAGAGTGAGCTCTTCTTGAGGGTCCTGAACCTTGACGATGTCCTCTGGAATGTTGACCACGCAGTTGAACACGTCGAGATGCGGCGGCAGACGTCCGTTTTCGAAAAGCCATTTCGATAACCGGGACACAAGCACCAGCGTACCGAAACTGCTTAGCATGGCCAGAGTCCGGAACGGAAACAGCTGGCCAGCTTCTTCGTCGTAGTAGGGATATTTGATGACGGCGGGCAAACCTAGGATCTTCTCGCCTCCCAAGCCCCGCATCAGGAGGCCGACGATGTATGCAGCTGTGGATCCGTGCAGAAAACGGGTTATTCGTCTCCCCAGCCGACCGAGGCGTCTCCATGCGGCCCGATAGCACATGATGGATTCGCCACGGAATCCTGACGTGTCTCCGCCTTACCAAGAGATCCGTAGGTATTGACTTGTTTCTTGAGATAAACGACTGAGGTCAATTGCGGGAATAAGATCACGTACACGAGGTCGGAGGATAAGTACCATAGACCGTATACGGATTTCACGGTGAGAGCCATAGCGGTTGCCATAACTCCGACGAAGATGATCGAAACCTTCATCACCATGATCACTTCGTTCTCGGACGCCTGCGTTCAATTGGAGCATTGTCGCAACGAATTCCGATTGTTCGAATCAAGGTATAACGATACGCGGAAACTCCGAAGGGGAAGAATCTCCCTCGGCGACGGACTCACGTTTTGTCTGAAGATGAGTTTATAGACGTTACGGGCGAACATGGAGGCGGCCGACAGGATCGACGAGTCTGAAGATGACATCACGGCCGCGGAAACAGCTCCCAGGCCCAGACAGGACACGAAGCCCGGCGTGAGGTATTGAAGTACCAGAGGCAAGACCAGGGCCGACTCTTTATCAGTGAGTGGGTACGGGCCGTGATAATCGGTTTCGTTCCATCGGGTGGCCTTCGCGACGGCGCCCATGATCATCGCTGGGATGGCCATCACGATACAGCCAACCGCGGCCACGTAGCTCAGCAGCTGAGCTTTGAAGGCACTTCGACACGAGAGGACTCGTTGGAAATAAACTTGCCAAGGAATCCCCCCGAGCATGAGCAGCAGGCCGAAATCGAGCCACTGTCCGAAATACTTCGAGTCCACTGTGCCGATCCAATCGTTCGATGGATATGTCAATGTTCCTACGGCCGCGTTGTTCATGCAGAATGGAATGCAGACCCACTGGAAAACAAAACCGTCGTGAATGTCGACAGAGGCGGAGCCTCAGAGGCAATGGCAGCCGACGTCATGTCTGCGAGATTGGACACTTACCAGCCCGAGAAAAATGCAAAATAGCTGGATGACGTCAGTGTATGCGACAGAATACAACCCTCCGAACAGTGTGTAGAAGAGGGCAATGCAAGCCGAAGAAATGATTGAGGTGTTATTGTCCAAATCCATGATGACACCGACGGTCGCGCCTAGAAGTCGGAGAGAGTCTCAATTAGGCAGTTCTCAGCCGGAGGTCCGGCTGTGCTGAAATCCCCCATGGGGAGAAGTCCCCCATGAAACTCCACATATTGTTCGGCACAGGTTTCTATTTAACGAATTCCACTGGTCCCCTTGACTTTCGGCGTTTGAATACCATGATGCCAGAGTTCTTGCAGTGCATGTCAATTGCTGTGTCATCCACTATTCTTAAGCGCAAGATCGATACTGGATCATTCCCCGACACTGTCGTCGTGGAGCCGAACGAGCATTGTCGATTCTGAGTTGACACTCCTTGCGTAAGGGCGTCCTTTGCGTATCTTGACGTCCATTAGGGAAATGAGGTTGTAGGACCGCCTGCGCCCCGGTCAGACGGTCGAGAAAATGGAGAGGCGACTCCGTGGCGCTTTTTGTCGAACGATAACTCTCAAAACAAAGCAGGTGCGCCTCGGAAAGGAAAAATTGGAAAGGACAACGACAAGGTGGTGTCAAGGTCAGGATTCTCCCGTGGCCTCTCCGGATCCTCCGCTCTTCCTGCCCTCTCTCCACGTATTCCGTTGAACACATTCTATGGAAAAGCGCGCAGAGCCTAGCGGGTTCACTGCTGAAAACATGGAGGAGGGCGCGAAAAGAAGTTTCGACTTCACCACCAGCAGCCGACGGCGAGAACTCAATTCCGATCCAGGTCGGGAAAACTCGACCAGCAGAGAATCGACAACCTCCGGGCGCTTCCCCTCTTCATGCAGATTTGAATAATTGAGCACACCGACGTTGTTTTATTAGAAAGGGCACCAGCGTCAACGTGAATGCGGGAGCCGACCTTCCCGCTTGGAAACCGAGAATGGTTTCCGTGATCATCGGACGGACAGAAGCTGGATTAGATTCCTCAAGGATCATCGACTGAAATCTGGTACTCTTCCAGATTTCCGGTAGAGCCATCGCTTTCTGAGTCCCGGGCGTATGGGAGCGTTCACTCCGGTCCCGAATCAGGGACGTCCTAGACTTTTCCATCCCGCAAAACTTCGGACATCGGCAATGAAATTAGATGCAACTCGAGACAAGCTTCCTGTGGTGATCGGCTTGAGACTCACGGGCTTGTCCGTACGAGACGAGCGCCATCAGAATTTCAGTTCTCGGGGTGATTTACGTCGGCGTATACCTTTCATTTGACGGCCTAAGATGCGTTCGACACTCACCAAGTGCTGCGAGAATCGCGGCCGACCAGAAGACTTCACCGCATAGTGCTGGAATGAAGAGCAGACCTCCCATTCGGCCTCCGAAAAGTTCTTGGAAAGGATCCAGCATGGTGACATATCCTTCGGCGCGCATCTTGTTCGCGAAGAAATAACCGCCTGCTCACGGAGATCCAAATGTCATTAGTACTGTACGGAATACGGATAATATTCGATCGGTGAGTAGAAAATCGAGAAAAAAACTCTTCGGGAGCCTGGTCTCACGCGCTAAAGTCACGCATTCGTTCCTGTAGCGAGGAGATTCTGAAGGCTGAAAATTTTTACCGAGAACGAGTGAGAGCGCGTATCCCATCGGCGCCTGAGTCCACATGATTCCGTCTTTGAAAACAGACTCTGCGGTTCCGTTGATGTATCCTCCTCCTACCCAGGTCGCCGTCATTGTGAATATGCCGACAAAAAGCCCTGAAACAAAATCGGATGGTCGAGTTAACTATCGAGACGCCGCGCCGTCCCGTATCCATGCGACAACCCCTATCAGCCATTTCTTTTAAAGTGAGGTTGAGCACGGCTGGCCAGTGTCTGGTTCACGTCGCGAAAAACGATCTAAACCTCCTTCTGTCTCGATCTAGCTCCTCTCCGGCCGAAAGTCAATCCATCTCAACTTCCGAGCGGAAAGCGAGCGCTGTACAAGTGCACTCGCGGCCGATCGACGGTTCTGGCAAGACGAGATTATCGAGTTCATGCGCCAACCTCACTGGGGCGGAGGTCTCCCGCTAGCGTTGCGCAGTACGAGTCTAATCGCAAGTCAATGGATCATTGATCATTCGATGGATCGGTCGATGGGTGTCTGTGCTCTCCCCTCAGGAGTAGCAATCCGAAACGACTCGAGTGCAAGACCGTGCTGAATAGAGCGTTTCAAGGGCCGCGGTCTGCCGCGAGACTTTATCCCGGCTCTCATCGAATGAGACCGATCCGTATTAATCCGGCTTCCGAGTATAACCTTGACTGACTCGGCCACATGACACAATATCTTGGTGAACTCGCACAGTTCCCGCAAGTGCACTTGGCACCACGAATCCTTATCTGCGATGCGGAGCTTTCCCGTCAGATATCAATCATTGATTCGAGAAAACGCATCCTTCATTTTTTTCCCCGTCCAGTGAGAATCTCAGAGATGTTTCCCGAAGATTCTTGAGAGCTTGAAAACTCGACGACGTCCTCGTGATATCGTTCAGAGCTCCGAGGGTAATATTCTATGCTTTGGGTAGATATTCACGTTGCGCATAAGTGCTATCGATCGGAAAACATTCATTTGAATCACGGCGCGAAAACTCATTATGCCCTCCAGAAAGAGCTTTCCGAGTCGCAAAGCTGTCTCAGGGTCCACTTTCTTCCCGCGTCGAAGAGCTCTAGATATCGTCTTCGTGATTGCTCATTTCGGATCTCATGCATTAGTTGCGAGACAAGGGAATCCTGCTCACCTATGTTTCTGCCGGCTAACATGACATCGTCTGCCTCGCCTTCCTCGCCGGTCCGTTTGCCGCTCTTCCGTCCTGCCCATATTCCCACGACGAGGATCAAGATGTAGAAAAGCACCACCGAAATGATGCCCGCGTAGTTCACCGTCATGGTTCAGAATTGATGTCGCTCCTTGCTCGGGGTGTGAGGATATCTTGATATTTCCCCTTGTTGTCACGGGGCCGAGACCCTCAAGAGTACGAACACCTCAGTCGAACCCTTCCGGATGGTCGAGGCTGGAAAGAAATCATAACTTCAGTCATGAATAGATTCGAGGGTCCGACCAGAGTCTCGATGAAGAGAAAGCATGCTCGGAGAAAGATATCGCTGCATGCAAGGGAATCTGAGTTTTCAGAGCGATGATTGAGGCGATTTCTGAATCCTGAATTCCTGATCACAAGCGAGTTGAGGGTTTTCCGAATTTTTAGCTATCGAATGTCATCAGGCACGATCACCCTACACAGGATATGGAATCTCGGGGATACTCGGCAGTCGACGATGCCTCGCGAGGGATACCGAGCTCCAAGGGAAACGACGATAGTCCGCTGCGAGGAAACTCTTCCACGGAGAGAGAGAGCGAGCAAAGGCGGCATTATGAAAGCCTGCGATTTCATAATGATTCATTTTCTTGTAGGCCACCGAACTCAAGCTAGAAGTCGATGGAGGGATCGGAAGAACTCTGGGAACGAGAGTCTTGCGAATGATAGGGACCAGTAAACCCATGGATTTCAACGCTAGCAAACCTCTCATCACCTGGAGCGGAGGATATCATAGGGAAATCTTGCTTGATGGTCTCTTCGTCCATGGAAGGAATTTCCGATGTACTGGAATTCATTAAGTAACCGAATATGGAATGTATGAACAGGTTTTTAAACATAGAATTTAAGCACGCGAATAGTATTTCGAAAACTATCGATCGGCACCCTGTCTGTGAACATGAGCTTGCTCTGATCTATCTAGCTCCGAAACTCCAGACCCCAGCCTTAGTTCTGATCGATGGGACTCGATTGCGATATCTGATCGCGAAGAAGTCCAGAGCTTGAGCAAAAAAAAATTTTGCGCGCTCCTCTCGCTCGCCCACGGATCAATTCATTCCCCAGTAAGGGGCGCAAGGGTGAACTAATCCGTAACAGTTCCGAGACATCGGAAGAACTTCGTGAGTGGAGTCGAACACGCTTTCCCGGGAAGAAATCGTAGTCCAAACGCAATACGCAAGCCCGTATTGCCATCTGCTCGGGCCCCAACGGATTTCTCGGCCAGCCTAGAACAGCTCATCTGCCAGTCGTAGCGAACGTGCTTTCCGAAACACGAGCTGTTGTGGCACGGAGAACTTCCGACGATTCGCAATCGAAGAGAGGCTGTCCGAAGAAATCGAGCATCGTGCATAGAATTGCTTCACAGCACAAGGATGAATGAATTCAGAGGAATGAAGTGGAGCGATATCATCATGATAGACATCGAGTTTTCGCAGAGGAAATATTCCGCTTGAGAAGGGAAACAGATGATCATGTTCGCACTCGAGAGCAAGCTCCGGCTCTCGCAGAACAAGAGTTTGGCTCATTGAATTCCCGTCCGGCCAACTCAAAAGCATATGTTGTGAAGTCGTATGTGGGGCCGTAAGCACTCCGATTCCCAATCCCGAGTATTGATTGTCACCAGCCCACAGAGAGTTCCCCTTCCTAATTATAAGGTGGACGAATAACTCAATGAACGATCTCCTAAATTCAATTACGCCGAACTACTCGCGCCTCATCCTCGAGGTTCGCGAGAACGGCTGAGACATGATCTAGCCTGCAAGTTTGATTCATTATTAGTCGGCCTCATGCAATATAGACAAGGAATATCTCATATCTCGGCATAGCAGGGACACGCAGAACAGTACACGATCGACTCGTATGTGTAGTTGTTGGTCATTTTGTAACAGTCAGATGAAACTGAGTGAGCAGAACTTTGGTCGTTCCGGGAACGTTTTATCAGCCTGGCAGACCTGATTCGACTTCTACGCGACTCTCCGACGAAGATCTACATCCTCGAACGAACTGTCGTCTCTTTCGTGGGTACGCCTCCTTTCACTTCTTCGAGAGAAACGATCCGAGCGGCGTGGGGTGCGTCCGCTAAGGATTGGACAAGCCCTCATAAATCGCGACTCGTTCCGAGAATCGCATAGACCTCAGGGCCTCCTCTGATATCAAGACACTTCCCGCGGTTTTCCAGTTGACTCATCACCGAACGTGCGTGGAAATGCAGCAGTCTCAACCGAAAAACACTTGCACACTGAGCCCTCTCGTTTGGACTGATTGCGACTTTTTTTTTCGATTTTGCCGCACGATAACCCGCCGAGCTGTATCCGGTCTGGCCTCGAATATACCTGCCCCTGTCTGATCTCCGCCGAGCAATCGTTTCTACACACCGCAGTCGGCGCTGAAATATAGTGGGTCACAGCGACTGGGCCGCGGATTCGTTTCCTGCTGCACTGCAGATAACTTTCGACGGAAACAAGAGCGTCTCTCGTAGATGACCCTGGGGTCTCGACTGATTGCTTAATTTCTAGGGAGAGTTGAGATCAGGAGGCTCGTTAAATCCAGCCTATCGTAGGGACCGTGTTTTCGTGCAACGAAAAGCGTACTCTCAGAGGACGGACTCCTAAGGAGAGGACTTAGATGAGAAGCACGTGAATGAGTTTCCCTCCCTTTTCTCGCCCCACACCGGACGGAATGCGAACCACTCGTTTTGACATTCGCTTCCCCGACTCCGACGACAATCCGATGACAGCCATTCTCGAATTTAATATTTCCAAACCTAGAGACTCACAATGAGTCGCTCGGGGATGTTCACCAAGCGGCCTGTCTTCTATACACGCATGAGAGTCATGTTAGGACGGTGCGGACAGTTCACAGTCCTCTAAACCTTTGTTTAATGATAGATGACACAAATGTCAGACTCTGTCGAACTCTATTAACAATCTCTAGCACGAGCGATTCCGGATCTTTGGGTGCGATCGCGAACGCAGCACGATTCACAACTATCGCCCCATCTGAGGCTGGTTCGTTTCGAGGGTGAGTTTCGGTGTCGAACCGAATTCTTGCTCTGGCCCGGACTCATGTATGGCTTGACCGAAGACAATTGAGAGAGCGTCGTTTGCCTGAAGGCACAGAAGATGATTGTTCACGTCTCGCTTCTAGGCCGAATCGAGTGTCAGACTTTTTTACGGAAAACCTTCGGAGAAACAAGCTCCACAAGTCCGGGCCGAGGTTCGTCTGACGAGGAGGGAAGGAGCAGGAGAATGCTACCGACCTCAATCAATAGCCTAACTGGGAAAGGGACCGCGAGAATCGAGCATGCGCACTCTCGGATCCTTCGCCTTGAGAGGGCACCGTATATCGTCGTATGACGTCACGCGGGATCGGAGAAGAGGCTGAGGGACCTGTGTAGGCAACTTCGAGAGCTTCCACGCAGAGGAAAAGACAAAAAATGTCCTGTTCGTGCATCTCATCGGTAATGGACAGCTGATACCATATCACCCCAGACTTCTGTCCGTCGATTGCTGCGGATTTGCGCCCAGTGCAGAAATATAGCTGAGCGTGCTTGGACACAGTGGGGGGGAAAACACAAGGCCGGGGAAAATATTCGCTCCCCTTGTATTCGCGGAAGTCCTGGGGAAGTTCACCAGGGCAAGATCCGCGCAGAGAGAGTCTGGGGAACTGATCATGTGTTCATTCTTCTTGAAATTAGATAGAATAGCGTTCCCGTTTCGGAGACAATTCCTCGCAACGGAGAATCCTGGCCACTCGTTCAAGCACAGCACACGGAATAACGAAAGCCACTCAGGTCAGAGAGTTCTCGTCGAGCCGTGAGTCTTAGAGAGTAGGAAAGTCGGAGCGAGAATATGACGTCCAGCGGTGGATCCCATGGAGCCCGAATCGCCGGGAACTTCACTCCCTTGGTATGCTTGACCGAGTGGTGAATAACATATTTACGGGTGGGAGCCCCTTCCCGTGATTTGCTCCGAGTTCAACACCTCAATTGCGGCTTGATTTGTGCAAATCAGAAATCACATATGGGTGGCTGGAGGAGCAGTGGTTCCAAAGCCTCGAGGAGGGTAAGTTCCTTCGCCTAGCCTTCCCAGCTGATAATTCGACTCGAGGGAAGTAAGTAGAATCGGGAATTCAGGTGGGGAACCGCCATGACCACAAGTATCGCCGAGGGTCCCATGACCAACTCTTGTATCTGGTTGAGCGATCCGTCTCCCAGCATTCGGTCGATCTCTCAACGAGCGTCACGCTACAAATCAGAAGTGTCCGATGGCAAGAATTCCGAAGAATCCTCTGCTGTAAATCATGGGCAGACTAGAGGAGCCGGCGGATGATTCAATCCGCATGAAGGCATGCGAACTTGATCGAATTTCCATCTTCCAGTCGACGGTCTCCTACCTGACGGCCAGGAACGTCTATGAGAACATCGATTTGCATCAAGAGGGTAACTCTCGAGAGAGGATATTATTCTCATCGTCCAGAGCAGCCCTCGCATAGCCGGGCGCGTCAATTCCTGCTAACGTTCTTCGGAACGAGTTCAAGTTTTGAGGATATGTTCACTTCTACATCGCTTGTGATGTCTGCGGAATTCATATGACGTGATCGACTGAATGAAAAGCCTGGAACCTCCTGTCGAAGCTTGAATAGCGATACGACAGTGCGCGAAGGAGACTCGGAAAAAGGTAAGTGAACGATTGAATCTCTTTGAGCATTCCCGATCCTGACGAAAACTGTCACGTAAAGCGCATAGACAATCGAGAGATGATGATTCAAGTAGTCTTTCGTCTTCCGGGAGAAAATAAATCGGAACTGCTCATTCCGAAACTCACGGATTTTCACGCGGACACGCCGGCATGAGAGCGAGTAAATGGAGCCGCGAATGGTATGCGTCCCATAACATTGCCTACGATGAGTAGCAAGTATTCTGGGCTCAAGGGGCGGTTCGCCTATCGACTTCCAGTGTTTCTAGCCTGAAGATATCCAGGGTGAATTGACTTGGTTCGAGGATCTCAAAGCTTCGCGTGACCTTGACGATCGGCTTCTCTTAGGCTTTATTGTCGGAGCGCCTGCCATTGACGATCTCGAGCTGAGCGAACCGGATTATCTGAGCCAATGATTCACCACCATTCCCAGCCGCGAAATGACTGAGAGAATAATTTTGAAAATCTTCATCATTCGAGGAATCATCGTTCTATTTCTCGTGGCATTCCTCAGCTCATCAAGCAAGATCCATACGTCGTGACCGCTTTCCGGGTCGAAGTCTTGAGGAGGTTGCTCCTCGGGCTCGAGAGAAATATCAAACATTTTCTGGATATTTCATGAACTTGGACCATTCGAGTACTCGGCGCCCGAGGATGGGGTCAGACGTCATTCCAAGGGAATACTAAACACCGCTCCGAAAATCCACAAAATCCACCTTGTCGCGTCGGAGGCCTCCGTATTTGAGTCGTCATCACCAATCTTGTCCACTTCCGTGGTAAAGCGCGCGGTCGGGGATTCCGACACCTCACTAATCAAGCGGCGACGAGTGTTGCGATCAAGCTAAAACATTTTTCGCCCCGCATACTGCTCACTTTTTGCTCGTCGTCGTAAGGAGGCATCGAATTCCGAAAAATTGACCCGCATCCAGAGTCTAGACCTCTCAAAGAAAGAAATAGACACAGATCCACGGCTGGTATGTTCAGCCGTGGATCAGCCCATTCCCTCGGCAACGGGGAGAGGTTCAGCCAAGGAATTGTATTGGTCGCCCCGTGTTGGCTACCAAAGGTCAACTTCGAACAATGAGTAGGATTCTTCTATTGAAGCGAACCCGTCAAGACAACCTCGGGCACTCCGGAGTGGTCTCAGAAGGGAGAGTTGATCGTTTACCAAACAGAGAAGTATTTCTCCCTGAGGATAAGCGCCGGAGCTCCGCTTACGATTTCCGCGGTCTCGCTCCGCAGAATCCAGTGTCGAACCACGAGCATCGAATTTGAAGGAGCGTCGACGAGCGACTCAACCTGTCCCTCCTCATATTAGATGAATCCTGTTCCAACATTACAATCGCTCGATCTGCGCCGGATCTGCCTCATGGGACCTCATTTCTGGAACATAGGACTCCAGATTCAAGGATCTTGCTCATTACTTCTCAACCGTGCGTTCCGCTCCGAACTCGCCAGGAATCGCACGGTGTGGAATCCCGCTCCCTGTCGTCAATCAGATTCGCATAAGCGACCGCGCGCTTCCGAGGACCTTTAGGTGCCGATCCTTCGGGGTTTGGGTCAGGACCCCCCGGAGACAATTGTTTCATGAAGGATCCGGTAGCCCTGATAGCCTCTCAACATGGGTCGACTCACATCAGGCGAGAGTGGTGCTTCTGCCAAAGATTTGTGTGTATTATCGGTCGACCGCTTCCGGCTGTATTCAACTAGCCGATCGATGAGTCTCGACCGTCAACCGTGAGCGAGACCCCCGAGGGCGATCGAGGGAGACAGCAGCGCCTTCCCAGATGGAACTCCAAGCTTTGAGGCTGGGGAATCGATTTCCCGAAATCTATGATGCTCTTATTATTATTAATATTAGTTATTCGTGCCAATCACCACGTTCGCATGTTCAGTTCGTCATGCAAGGATCCGTTCTATTACACAGTGTCGCATACTGATTCCAGGATTTAGGATGCTCTGACCTAATGAACACCGAAAGCCGTTCGGAGTCCATGAATAGTCGGCCGAAAGCCTGGCCAGAAGAGCACTACGAAAGGGTTTCGGCAGCCCCGACGGAATTTCCAGAGGACGACTTATCTTGACTGCGGGGATGAATACTCTCGGAAACGTCCGGGGGGGGGGGGACGGCTGCTGTCGATTCTGTTCTGATTCTGCAGCTTGAATACAGAACGAGTCGATTGGGGTATGCGCTCTGTTCTCCGCGAGGAAGCGAGGATCTCTCCAGTTGATGAGGTCTCTCATGTTGAGAACCATAAGTCGCTCGCCCATTTTTAGCTCAGCAAGTCATGGCCCCGGAGAGTTCGTTGTAAATGACTCGAGCGCGAAACGGGGGGAGGGGGAGATTCCACATGAGACTTGTGAAACCCATCGGGCGGACCGGGACGGCCCCTCTGGGAGGTTAATCGATTACTTCTGGTTGATGATTCCCAGCCTACAAAAGCTCTACAAGTTGCTGCTCGCCAACCTGGAAACCCGCGCTCTTCTACTCATTCCTCGGACGGAATTAACCCCGGAATACTGGAGGGCCTCAGAGATTTCATTTTATCCTGATCCCTCCCCAGGGGATTCGGACTTCACTCCACGATACCCGTCCTAGTCTTCGCCGAAGGTTTGAGGATGGAGTCAACGAAAGCTCAATCCTCCATTCGGCATTCACCTTCGCTCCGATGTGCGTGGAATAGCTCCGGAGCTCGATCGGCGGTTGGATCACTCACCGGAAGCGGGGAATTATCCACGAATCGCGCACTACAGGGTGATGGTGTTCGAACTCATTTTCAACTGGAACAGGATCCACAAGGATGAATAGGACTCCATGTTGAGTGGAGAAAGTAGAGGGCGCTGGGGGAGTTCGGTCCCGACAGCAGACGGCTTTGCATCGAAGTGCTCGGAGGCAAACCCAAAGGGCGGGCGGCGCGGCGGGACCGAAGGAATCTGAGGCCGAAACTTTTAATGGCTCTCGCGCTGTAGCCGCAGTAAATTGCCGCTGACGACCGAACATTGTAGCTTCGTCGCGACTTGAGACTCAGTTACGAGTCCGAGCTCCGGGATCCGGGACTCAGAAAAGAAATTCTCGTCATTTCTTCGGACGAAGACATGCGGTTTTCCGTGTACCCAACGTCGATCGTCGAATACGCCTCACCCCTTGGAACTCTTCCGTTTGGCAGGAGTCTACAAGATATTTTTCCGTGTCTTCCCTTTATTCCTAACATATTCTGTAATGAGATCTCCGAACGAACCACCAGGGCTCTGTATGTGATCTGTACCAATCCGACGAACGTGTTGAAATTCGAGGAGAATGTATTTCTCCGGTCGATGTCTCTCTCGGAATTCCTTATCGGTCGAGTCTAACTCTCAACGGCCCGCCAATGAACAGCTCGCTCGATCACGTCATTGTTCCATTTAATCTCCAAAGCTCTCCACCCACTCCTCTTCCAGCAGCTATGTTGCTTGGCCGGCGCAGACACGATGAGAATTTGCGGGAAACCTTTGCGGAAACATGTACCTATCATTGTGTCGTGCGTTTCCCTCCTGCTTTTCGTGCTCGTGCTGACTCTCCATTCATCCACGAGGAAAGTGTGGAAGTTCGGCTACGCTGTCACAATCGAGCCGGACGAGGCAGGAGCCACCGTATCTCAGAAGCCGATCCTCGTCTGCGTGTCGTCTGCCTCGGCCAACAGGGAAAATCGCGACGTCATACGTGAGACATGGGGTTCCCATCCGTTGCTGCGGGTGCTTTTCTTCTTGGGCGTCAACATCGAGCATCAAGCGGACGTCATCGAAGAAGCCCGAAAGCATGCAGACGTGGTTCAGTATAATTTCTTGGACACATATCGGAACCTGACGTTGAAGACGGCTTCGATGATTCATTGGGCTCATCACAATCGATGGAAGCAGCGGGAAATCGTCCTGAAGGTCGATGACGATACTTTCCTCAACACGCGGGTTTTGGAAAAGCATCTCGATCGCTTCCAGCGACCGGCCATCTACGGGAGCGTTCTAAAAGACGTCGCGCCTGTCAGAGATCCGACCAGTCAGTATTACCTGAGTTGGGCAGAGTACTTCTTCCCGACGTTCCCACCGTATCTGAGCGGTGCCCTCTACGTTCTCCAGGAGGGAATCATTGGAACTCTGTATCAGAACATGTGCAAGCTCACGTATTTGGCCATAGAAGATGTCTACTTCACCGGTCTCCTTGCCGATTTCATTGGAGTGGAGAGAATCGCCCTGCCTCAATCGGCGCGATTGCTCGACGTGCCCGAGTACATCAGCGACCGCCGCACAGCTTGGTTCTACGGTGAGGTAAACCTGGATGTCTCCGCTTTGTTGGGGGTGCATTACGTTACTCCGGAGCTCCAGATGAAGTATTGGAAACAGATAAAAACGGATCCTTGAGAGACTCTCAACATACGCGCATCAGCGGAAATTCTCTTCTTCCATTTATTTATTGACCCGGGGCAAAAGTGCCCTACACGTGAGACGCCAGCGTGCTCGTCATGCGGCGATGGCGGAAGACCTCCTCGCGCTTAGGGGCCGAGGAATCGTGGAAAATCTGCTTGAGATCGTGGAAACGAAGAGCATGTTGATAATAAAGAAGAATAGCTATCGACTCTGGTCCTTCACAAATTCTCCCATGTCGATGAGAGGAACACCATTTATTTATTGAAATTCCAATCCTCCTCGTGATCGTTTTCTACAGAGAATCTTCCGACCGCCTACGATGTCCTATCTAGACGCTGCTCTGAACTCCTCTACTCGAAGCTTTTGCCGGAACCGATTGCGTAGCCTGGACTTTGATTCCGCTCCGATCTGGGCGACGAATCTAGGTGGGAGCTTCTCGAACGCCTTCTGCCAATCGTTGTGTGCTTTCATCTCCGCCAAAATTTCGAGGACATTATTCAACGTAAGCGTCTTTTGTGCGCCTGTCCCCAAAATAACATGCTCCCTGATGGGCAACCGAGCACAGGCGATACCATCCTTCCTGGCCTTGGCAAGGGTCAGGGGCTGTTCGAGTCCCAGATCGACGATTCCTCCGATCAGATAGACTTTCGATGGATCGAGCTCCTTCAGCGGTTTTGGAGCGTCCGGGCTGAGATAGACCAAATCTTTGCTCGGAAACAAATCCAGATAGTGCTCGCTCGTTTTTCCAATCAGCAGCTGTCTGTGATCCGCGACGAGGTACTGTTCTACCAGTTCATCGAGGAGACATTTCGGCGGTAAATTGCAGAGTGTCAAGTCGAAGGGATCTGGGAGCACTCGATTGACACCATACGCGAGCATCATTTGTCGCGCTAGATTCCGCAGCTCCCGGTTGTTCATCACGTCTGAGAAACCACAGTCGATGACGAGTTTCGTGCCGAAGAGGGCGGCCGACGCCAAGCGCTGGCCATACAACTGGCGGTGCATTGTCACTTCTCGGATGAAGGGGAATATGCCTGGTGGTATGGGCTTGCGTTCCCTGACTTCGCTTTCCCTTTTCGCTCTCGCAAGGAGCTTCGTCTGTTTCCTATTTCTGTCTGACATCTCTCGTTTGTACATGAAGCTGGAATAGAAAGAAAAAACGCGTGATATTCCCGAACGAATGGGGTCGACCGAGCAGGTATCATGGTCCAGCCGAGCTCCAAACTCGACACAAGTTCAGTCCGGGGCAACGTAGCACCAATCGGACCGGGCTCAGTGCTGAAAGGCTGTACACTCACTCGTAATATCTGTGCCGTTGTGGTTTTGAAAGGGTCAGCAAGTCGAAAATGTCTCTCTTCTTGATCCTCGCGGGTGCAACTCCTGTGTCTTCACGTTTGAACTCAATCTCCAGGAGAATCAGGTGGATTTTCTTCCGGTCTTCCTCTGTTTTGATGAATTCACTGAAATCCTCAACGGTATAGCTGCGGACATCCTCGTCAGAGGAGCCGGCAGAGGCCTCGGTATCCCCCTGGCTCACGGTTTGATCTTCGACATCAGCGGAAGCTTTGTGCTGGACTTGACGAGAAGCCGACCCAGACATGGCAAGCTTCGAAAAAAGTCCTCTTTGCACACCCAATCGAGCCGCTGTCCACGCCAACATGATCTCTGAGATCTCTTCGAGTCGGAGACGGCAGCGGGCTGATCCGGACGCGGAGTAACGAAGCTCTCCTTGCCTCGATTTCGGGCGTGGCCGTACAGAATTCCAGTGAGTACAATCCGCGCACAGTGTTCTTTCGGAACCGCACGACGCTTCTCACCGACGCGGTGCACCACGCGACTGCGCGGATCTTACTCTGTTTGTCAGCGTGTCTGGGTTTTCTCGAGCTGTGTGCGGTGTGCCGTTCCAAGATACCGGTCATGCTTCTCCTACATCAAGCAAGACAGGGGCAGAGGGGGTAAGGGGAAATCTACTTCCGATCTCCGGAGACCTTCGATAAGAATACATCAGAAACTCCTCAAGGGTGTAATCATTCTGAAACAATCCATCCCATCCTGCCTCGGAATCGAAAACGGGAAATCCGCGGGAGATTGATAGACCACGATATTGCCCAAACAATCTCGATTGTCGGTCCGCCCCCCCTCCGCCGATAGTCGTCGTCGGCACAGCCAGATATCGCCAAACGCAATGTGGTGCCCAGCCCCATCAGGAGCATGCGAAAAGGAGCTTAGATAGGAAATCACAGCGGAAAACGGGCTCGGTGAAGAAATCAGAATATGTCTGCATGGACAACTTCCCGAAGAAACCTTACTGACATTCAATCGTCCACCACGCGCAATGCAGATTTTATTTACATAGAGACCCAGTTTAATCGTGTATAATCATGAATAATCACATGTCCGAGATTGGAGATAACGGAGAGGCTCGAGCTTGCTTTCAGTTCCTGCTACTACTGCTGCTGCTGCCATTAGCGCCCCTGAGTTTGTCTCCGATAGCTTTGACTTCCCGTCGAGTCGCTTGATATTGTTGATTGTAATCTAGCCTGTACAGGAAGCGCATGATGCATTCGTTACGTTTATCGAGTTGGCTGGTCGTGTGCTCTTGGAGCACCTGGAAACATCTTCGGAGAATATCTTGTTGAGATCGGAATTCTTGTTCGATTGATCGGAGATCGGCGTTGATGTACATCGGGAAACGGAGACACGTCTGAAACACTTTGAGAAGGGTCTCCTTGAAGCGAGGCAGACTGACGAACATCATACACGTAACGTCTTGCACGAAATGGCTCAGAGCTTTTTTCAGTGCATCGCAACTCCTCGAACCGTGGAGCACGCCCCGGAGCTTGTTGAAACTGATGTGCAGAACGTCCATGTGCAGATAGCTCTCGAAATTGCTGACGAAGAACTCCATCTCGTATCGGAGCTTCATCGCCTGAGGACTCAGCCTTGATCCCAGGGTCGAGTTCAAGGCCAATTCGGCCCGTCTGACGGCCAGGAGCATCTGGAACGCGTAGCCCAGCGATCGAACTTCTCTGGCCGAGAGAAGGCAGTGAAGGTCCGGAGGTAGATCGTAGACGAGCATCAGAAGACTCCAAGTGTCCGTGGCGTCGCTCTTGCTAGTCACAAAACGGATGCGTTCGATGAATTCCATGTCTTCGTCAGGATACGCCTGGTAGAAACAGTTTCGCAGACATTCGCTCGCAATACTTAGATGATTCTCCTCGAAAGGAACGATGAAATGCTGCTGGACTTTATTCATCCACTGCAGGATCAAATCACCTCGTCCCATGAAAACAGTCTTCAGAATCGCTTCGAGATGATATTCGAGTCTCTGTTGAACGACGAGTTGATCCCAGAGGTAGTCTGAGGTAAAGGCACTCAACGATGCGATCACCGGACTCAACATGTCGAGATCTTCACAAGCGGCTTCCAGCTTGCTCAGATATTCGTCCTCCTTCTCTGCGTAAATGGATTTCTCGAAATAACTCTCTTCGTAGAACTTCGCAACGATGCAGCCAATCTGTCTGATGGTCGAGGCGTGTTCGGTGAGATAAGGGGGTACGAAGTCGTCAACCACTCCGAAACCATCTTGGTCCGGTCGGATAAAGAATTCGCAATGGGGATCTTTCAGAATTCCGTAAAGTAGCCACGAAGCCAATTGGTCGAACAAGACCTTGTTGCATCGCTTGAATAGGGTCTCGAGTCGCTGGCGGACCGTTTCTTGACCGCATGATTTCGTTTCCGAGTAAACATACCTGGAGAATGAATCATAGGAGAGTTAGGGAATGTTCACTATGAAGGAGTAACATGGCAGGCAGATTGAAGAACAAGGAAAGCGGACGAGCGATACGAACTTCAACAAGTGACAGCCGTGTTTCTTCTCGTTGTGTATGACGAAAATTCTGGCTTGCAAGGCGTCGAATATCGCAAACCATTCATTCAGATCGTTTCTGAGATCACTCAAGGTTGCAGTCGGCGTCTCCAAGAGATAGCTCTCGAACGTGGCCAGAGTTTCTCGGAAATCGTAGAGAATCGATCCAAGACCATCGGCCAACGCGGACAGATACATGCCTGGATTAGATATGGAACGCAGTTTGAGCAAACATCAAGCGAACAGAGGCAGTTCAGTTATATAATATGAGACATATAATACTCGAATTCGCCTCCGAGAGGATAAGACACTCACCGGTCCCCAATGTGTAAGGATTTCTCTCTTTGACCTCGTCGAGGAAACGATTCAAGAACTTATACGTCGACCCGAGAAGTAAGAGCTCGTCGACTAGAACTCGATCCTCAGGGCCCTCGTACTCCGGGACAAGCCGGAAACGTCCCTTCAGATCCTCCTGGATCAGATCGCTCGATAGACCCATCAGCCCAAGAAGCAGTCTTTCAAACATCTTCAGCTGTACCTGGAGGGAGGAGCGGCCAGTTAATTTCGAAGAGCGCGTGAGCTACATGGGTACAGTGAAACCTGAGGTCAAGACCACCTCCATAATCTGGCCTTTCAAGGTATCAGGCCACTCTTTCCGAGTTCCGAATCAATAGGCTCCCGTGATGGAAAACCTGCCCAATAAGACCATCTGAGTGATCAGACCTCTTTCTGGATAACCCAGAGGTGGTCTCTTTTGAAAGGTTTCACTGTATGTGCCCTTCCGAGTCGTGTCTACTCCCAATGCTACAAACTGAGCGAAGGATGGGAAGTTTCCGGCGGTAGGGAGAAGCATGAGGAATTACCAATTCGATAAGGAGGAAAGAAGATCCTTGGTCTCTCACTTCTGCAACATTGTCATACACGCCCCTGAGCCGCTCCTTGGCACACCTTCCCCGACAGAAAGTGGAAAATACGGGGGAGAAGTTGATGGAATCATCGAGCGCTCGAACTCATCGGGATTCTATTCCTTCTCCTTCTTGAGAACGTTCCGACTCCGGGACAGCAGGGTACGTTCGAATTCACCCATGGAAGCTTTGGCGCGGTCTTGCGCTGATGATCTTGCTGATCCAGGAGTGGCACGGCGGGCGATCTCAAATGAGCTCCTGCATTCGAAAAAACCCTTCTAGTTTTCTATGTCGATAATGCGGCTTTGAGGAAAGTTGAGTCTCAAAAAGACGACCTGCTGCAAGGATCGCATGTTCAAGCTCGATAACAGACGCAGAAGATTCAGCATTCGCAGTGGATTTCTTCTTGATCACGACTTCCCATCAGGTCTTGATGGCAAACAATCCGACTCATAGACAGGAGCAGATGCTCAAGACCAGGGGTGGCCTATTGGTGGTCCCCGGACCACCTGTGGTCCGCTTTTAAGATTTCGGTAGTCCGCGAAGCAGCCCAAGTATTACTTCCCGGGAGAGACGTCGATGATATCTGAACGCGGCCTATGACCTTCGCAACGAGAATTCCGTTGCCTGCTCAGTCAGTGATGAGACAGCCGCACGTGCTGCATAAGGCTCAGTGGATACGAGGCGGTGTTCTGGATGAGTTCGTTCTCGTATCCCGATTCAAAAACATATGACTAGGGCTGTAAATTATTCGCGGAAAATATCCGCCAAATTCGCGGAAATTCGCAGCCTCCATTGAAACTCTATGAGGAGTAGCCGGAAATTTCCGCGAATCCCGCGATCGCCGCGAATAATTTACAGCCTTACATATGACCTATAGCTTGGTGGTCCGCGGACCCCGTCGCCAAGGGCTTAGTGGTCCGCGGGACCAGAAAGGTTGGCCACCCCTGCTCAAGACGGATCTTCCGCTCCATTTGCGAATTCCGAGCACCATTCCGTTCTCGGAAGTGTGCGTTGAATCTTTAGCTCAAGATTCCGGAAACCTGACCTTCTCAATCAGATCTGGTAGGATCGTGAGATTCCCGTGTTTTCCTACTATTTGATCAGGCTCGAGGCGATTCGCTCGAATTTGAGTTTCTTCTTTCTCAGTGACGACCCATTGCTGCACATCGCCTGAGATTCCTGAGATGATTATTCGGAGCATCTGTCGTTCACTGCGGTTCTTCCAGTCGGATATTCGTCGAGGCAAGCGGACAATGGTCGTTCAGAAGGACACGATCACGGTTCGTACACCTTGACCCGGTTTCTGTGTGACGTCTGAATCAAGTGCTCGGAGCCTATTTGAATGCTACCCTGTTTCGACCTCAGGTGACTGGCTTGAAACCCCTCTATTCCGAGTGGTCGACGATAAAGCCGTACTTGCCTCCAATGCCGCCTGAAGATATCACCTTCGATATGCCCTTCGTAAGAGTTCGGAGTAAACCAGCATTCGAGGGTGAAAAATGTCTGCGAGTCGTGGCTTTCCATGGAATGCCGGGAAACGGCGAGCACTTCCAAGCTCTCGGAGAAGCACTGGCAGAGACGTGCAACGTAGATTTCATCGCTCCGACTTTCCCTGGTGACGAGACCTCTCGATCGACATATTCGAAAACCTCGTGATCCGATTTCGAGTGCGGCAAGGCGTGCGACGATTTGAGTCCTTACCTCCGATCCAAACACGGGACAGCTCCCCTTACAGATCTGAAATTCACACTGGAGAAACGAGCTTTCTGGCAGTCAACCGAGGAGCGTCTAGCCCTCCTGGAAGTGTTCCTGAAAGCGATCGATGTGCGAGATGTCGACATCTCCATAGGTCACTCGACAGGTTCGTCCCTCTGAGTCGAGATAACTTTATTGAATTCCAAGATAAATATTCCAACACCCGACTGACTTATGAACTTCGAATGCTCACCTCGAGGAAATAATTCTATCAATCTATCGCTCCCGCAGGCGGTTGGGCGGCGGTGAATATGAGTCTCGGTGTGGGAAATCTGAAGTCCCGCTCATTCTGTTTAGTCTGCACCAATATACCGCGTTTCATCCGGTGAGTGAAGGTTGACTTGACCTCTTAGCCGTAGGTTCCGCGCTCCTTCTAACCGAGCCCAGAAGCAGCTTATCTCTGGGGCTCCGGGCTCTTTACGGTCTATCGGAGCGGGGATTTGAATCCGGGAGAAAGAGCAGTTGATGATGGCGGAAATGTACCGCCGCGTGTGATAGATTCTTTCTCTCAATTGAAGGTATATCGGTCCGAAGTGGTTCCAGGGGAATTTGTGTCGTGCGCTGCATTATAAGTTCATGGAACCCCTGGTAGTTTTGGCGTACGAGTTGATAATCAGTACTTTCCGTCTGCGGAGAAAAATGACAGCTTTCGACGCCATGAGCTCTGCCTTCCCCCAATACGCCATGAGATACTGGGAGGAGCAAAATGCGCCGAGATCTATACGGGAAGCTGTAGAGAAAGGTGAGGTCCATCCCGGGTCCTTTTCAGAATACTCGCTGCGACTCGTCTGATCTCTGGGGTCAGACGGGTCGCCGTAGACGAGGAGAAACCGTCTATCTACCGTCTCTTCCTCTGGAATGAAAAGGAGCTCCCGATATCATAGGAGTTCCCCGAATGATGGTATACGGCGGTCGAGACTACCTGCTCAAGTTGGAATTCAGTCACTTGTTGGCGAGCGATCTAGGGAATCCAGATCCGAAAAACCATTATACCTATGAGGGGAAGGAAGACAAGCAGCTCAAACTCATTCAGCAGGTGGGTGCAGCGAGAGGGAAGCGAGTCCTGTATCCTGCGAAAAATATTAGTTTACCGTAAGAAGCATGGGAGAATTCGCTCATGGTCATTGGGCTTATTTTCAGCCACAAGACGACAGCGACCTCCCGATCACAGTTCATTTCACACAAGGAGGCCATCATTGCTACCAACAATATCCGGAAACTATGGCAAAGCATCTTCTGCAGCTCGCGAATAGGGCAGACTTGTTCCATCAAGAGTAGAACCTTAAAGCGATGTGGTTTTCGGACCCCTATCACCGCGCGAGATGATTGAGACGCTAGTCAGCGTTCTGAACGCTGGAAAAGGCGACGGGGTATATTCCCGGTGGGAGCCAGAGATCCTCGAACCGCCAATCGGAAAGAATCGGACGCTGCCACCGATGATGACTCGCCCGAAGTATCTCGATGAGAGAATAATAAATTTCTCATTACTGAGCTGATGACTGATCAATAATATCTGATTGAGTACCAAAGACTCGAAATGCCGGTGCGTCTCTCTCCCTGATATTCCCTCACCGGTGACCGGGAAACTGGCGAACAGCAACGCACTCCCTTGGCTCTTCCAAATTAATAATTATGTTTGATTAGCCTGCTCTCGAAGGAGCTCGCCGCGGTGACCCGCTGTTACAGACTGTTCCATGTCCGATTCGACAGAGGCTCCCATGCGATCTCGATGATCTGTCGCACCTTCAACCCCGGCAATATTGTCGGTCTTCTGATGCTAGCGAATCTCGTGCGTGCTCGATCCATTCAAACTCTGGGAGAGCTCGGAAGAACATCGGGTAGGATCTGTGAGTGCCTCGAAGACTTTCATCACGGTTACGAGACAATCAATGAGACGGAAAAGGCAAGAAAAGATCGCGTCTCTTCTTGGAAGAAAACATCGATCTCTCAGTAAGACATGAGACCTGCTGGACCGTTGATGTTTCCCTGAAAAATTAAGTCTTCCCTTGCAGGTTATCGCTCTGGTGCGAATCGGCAGACACATGCCTGACGTCCTGCGATGCGGTAATTTAGGAGCCCTGACGCCTGGAGCGTTCGCGGAATTGCTTTGTCGGAGCGATGAATTCTACAAGCTCCACTTGTCCCCATATATTTCAAAGGAGGGGAAAATCGCAAGGGACGCAGCTTCCCGGAAACTTCTCAAGGTGGTGAGTACCGAAAGCGCCTTTGTGCGCCGATGTAGACTAGAAGCGCTACTCACAGACGATGTGGAAGCGGCGTCGAATGTCGACCGCACCGTAGGGTCCCCCTACACAGTAACTCGATTACGCTGCTGCGGACCCGATAAGAATCACCTTGATCGGAGCTGCCGATAGAGACGCGTTTCTCGATTTCTCTGTCATATCTCCCGCTTCATAAGACTTTCCAAGGCGTCCGATCAATGATCTTGATTGCAGATCGACCCAACAAAAATCCCGGATCCTTTATCGCGGAAAAGGACTGCCTCGCGAGTCGACATCATGAAGCCTTCGAGTAATATAATTAAAATAACCGCTTCCGGCACGCATCTTCATGAAATGTCATCCGCGTTCGATTACATAAGCTCGTCGCGATGGATTGCTTAGCCTGAGATCTAAACAATTCATTGATTTACAGAGCGGCAAAAGAGGAAGGTAATCCCCGAAGGAGCTTCTCTAAACCTTGGAATGGGAGTGGCCGATAGGTCCCTCGGTCGTTCAACGGAGGTGGGTGGTATGGTTCGAGCAACTCCCAGTGGAGAGCTTGGATTCGCTCTCCGAACTCTTGCTCAAAGGATTTCCCTCGGACTCATGCTAGGTCTCATGGCTCCACTCCTTGATTGTGGATGTTGGAAAAAGGTTTTCGAAAAGACGCCGTCACCTTGCAGACTAAATCGTCACAGGAGCTATCGCAGCAGCTTCCCTCGAGAGGAAGCAGTCGTGGTGGCCGAAGATTAGCCGAGAAGGAGTCTCGATTCCCCCATGGAGCGCAATACTGCGTGAGCTGCGTGTGGAAAGTTGAGTTGTGGCTACAGCGCATCGGAAACGTTCTGATGATCTTCTAGCAGCTACGTGGAGCTCAGATGAGTCCCTCCCACGCGGGAATCTTAGGGTACCATCTCGGAGGTCTCTGCTTCTGCAATAAATGCTAACTGATCTCCCTACTTCTTCATCGTGATCTACGCTGGCAGATTGCGTGGGCTATGAAGCGCATATCATGCTTTCCCCGCTGAATGAGGGCAAGGAAATTCGTTCGCTCCAATTTCAAGCCTCAAAACTCCTCGACTGTGAGGTTTCTCCAGTGCCAGAGCACGCGAGACGAGAAGATGTGAGGAAAATCAGACTCTTCCTCCGAGACGGGTCCTGGAGACCTTTGGAAGGTGTGTACCGTGGCGTCGAAGTCGCTCAAGAGAATTGAACAAAAGTTTTCACGAATGAAGTATGTACGCACCGATCGATTTATTCGGACTCGGGACAATGAGTTGGAGACTCCTGCATTTCCTCATAGATACGATAAACTCTAAAGAGAGAAGAATAGCTCTCACGAGCTCCGTGGTCTGCGTGTCTCCGACTGATCTCGACGCTTTAGGATCCGTCGCTTCTTGGGACTTGGAGAGCTGGACTCGCAGCGCTTCTTGACCATTGTCTGCCTGCGCAATCTCTTGCGTGTGACTTCGGCAAATTTTCCCGCTTGCCGGTCAGAAGGATCAGCCGGTATGTTCCGGCGGGCATCCTCCGTGGGAACCTCCATGGGGCTCTCAGGTTCCTCATCTTTATCATCCGTGATCACGATAATTTCAGCATCGCTCTCAGTGGGAGCCATCTCCTCGTCCTCGTCGATGATGACCGAATGCCTGAGGAGAACGACTTCGTCTCCTGATTCCTCATCGCTGTCTATTATGATTTCGACCACTTCCGCGGGTCGCTATGGATAGTTTCTGCAAGTCTTTATTTCGTTAGATGTGAACTGCGTCGCTGTGGTGCGAACGCCATTTCGGCGATCGTATATGAAGGGCAGGGCATGGGATCTGCGACAGAATGACGCGACCAGAATGACGCTACCAGAATGACGCTAGTGGAATGGAGCTGCGGGAACGGCACGGAGCCCAGAACGACGCCAGCCGAAAATGCCGCGGCAGGGATGACGCCAAGCTCCGAACGACGCGAACCCAGACTGCCGCCGGGTAGATGGCGCGAAGCCCAAAACGACGCGAGCCCATAATGCCGCGGCGAAAATGACGCGAGTCCAAAACGTCGCGGCGGGAATGCCGCAGCCTCAGTATGACGCGACCGAAATGACGCGAGGCCCAGAACGACGTGAGCGCAGAATGCCGCTAGGAGAACGTCGCGTGAAAATTAAGGAACGCGGGCCGGAAACGACACGGATCCAGAGCAACGCGTGCCCGGAATCTCGCGCGACCTGGATGGCAGAAACTTAGAAGCAACCCGAAACAGAGCTACTACGAGTACTAGCAATTAATTGAGAGGAAACATGCTTGCATTTATTCATGCTTTCGTTTCTCGATTATATGAAATTGGGATGGGTCTCTGCAGAAATTCTGCACCACACATCTCGAGCGCTTTAGTTTGACCGCGATTCGGTTCATCGACAGACTACAATCACGGTAGGCCACAATGGAAGCTTTTTCGGTCTCACTGAGGGTACTTTTACGGCCCATGTTGGGTGGAGACTTGAAAAACGTAAGGACTCACGAAATGATCACTCGGATGACTCGACTGCCTCGCCGCTTCGTGCTGGGCACTTCGTTCTCATCGATGTACAAACAATACCGTGGAAATGTGGTGCTGCGAGGTGGAAATGTGGTGTTTCGAGATGGAAATGTGCAGAGGCCTTATCCCAACTTCCACCCGAAAATACGATTTTATCGTAAAAAATCTAGAGTAATCGACGCTTGTTGATAAAAGGTGTTCGAGAAGATTTCATTGAGTGGGTGCATCGTTTCAAGATTTCAGATTCAAATTACACGACTCCATTATCTCTCGAAATGGGAATAATAGGGTGGCCTTATCCGAAATCCGAAATGCCCCCTGTGGTATGAAGTATTTACCTGACTCCAACGTCCCGAGTTTCTCAACGGACTTGCAACTTCAAAATGTCGTAGGCATCGTACATTGAGTATGTTGACATCGTACTTCGTCGGTGGGGAGGAAATAAGATCAAGTTTCCTCTTAGTTGGTGCGCGGAGTCTCGCGGAAACGAAGTCTGCTGTTTTCCCTTCCTTCGCCCGCCATGGAGTCAACGAGCAACAAGGGAGGGCGTAAGTTCAATCATGAATCATGACGGTCACTCATACAATTTCGATAAACTGTCCGCTGACGGATCGACTACGTTCTGGCGATGCGACCAGCGGACGTCTTGCAAAGCAAGGCTCCATACAGCTGGTGGAGCTCGGTACAGGTCACTTGGGCGAAAAGTCAAATGGGCGGAGCGACCATTTGGGCGGATTGCCATTTGGGCGGATGGCCAGTTGGGCGAAATACCATTTGAGCGGACTGCCTATTGGGCGAATACCATTTGGGCGGACCGCCTATTGGGCGAATACCATTTGGGCGGACTGCCAATTGGGCGGAGCGACCGATTGGGCGAAATACCATACGGGCTCAGTTTCCTCGTCGTAGGATAACTTCTTCACTTACATATACCTACAACTTTGTCGTTGGTGGGACAAGATAGCGGAACTTAATTTCGAGGTTAAACATCGTGCGGGCGTATAAATGGAACATGCGGACGCGCTCTTCGAGCTTCTAGAGAGCCATTCAGCGTATCAAATGCGTGGAGGCAGACATTCGGATTCTAACCGTTGTCCGCGACGCTTCGAACCGGAGCTTCAAAGAATACCTAAGGGGCATAGCCCGAAACTTCCTAATGGAATCCTGGAGGAGATTGTGAACTCGGCGATCAATCCATCGGCAAGTCGAAAGAACCCGCGGCCGAAGCAAAGTACCGAACAGTCCCGCGATGGACGGATTTGAGGCGACGACGACACTGCGAGAAGCAGGCGTTTGAGGAAGTCGGGACGATTTTTCTCAGTTTCATTTGTGTAGATAATTTGACATCATAATTCTTCCGCTGAACTTTAGCTTCGTGTAAATACGTGTACAGGAGCGGAAAGAAAAGAATCGGAGTGGCGTATTACTGGCGAAGTTGTCAGTACATCGCTAATTTAAGATAATGAAATGACAGAAGGAGCACAAAAGAGACGCGAGTGGAATCCCACACGAGTGCGCCGAGACCTGTGG